CAGCAAAGAAAATGTGAATTTTAATACAGTATTGTTATATTTTGGAGGTTCCAGGCAAAGCATAATGAACAAAGTTACACTTCAGCTAATTCTCATAGTATATAATTTATCATAATTGAAAGATTCTCAAATTTCAGGTTTTAAAAGGAATTTAGATCTCATCCAGTTCAACTTTCCTAGTTCATAGATGAAGAATTTGAAGCTTAAAGAGAAAACACTATATCCTATGGAGTAGTTTTTCATCCTCCAAAATATTTACATTATATTAAATCATTGGACAGACAATTCCATTTTACAGATTAAAAAAGTGAAACTCAGAGAAGCTATTTGCTGAAGGTCACTCGGAGAAGTTTCCCTGGTAGCTCATCTGGTAAAGAATCCGTCTGCAGTGCAGGAGACCCTGGTTCAATACCTGGGTCGGGAAGACCCCCTGGAGAAGAGACAGGCTGCCCACTCCAATATTCTTGGCCTTTCCTGGTGGCTCAGCCGGTAAAGAATCCGCCTGCAATGCAGGAGACCTGGGTTTGATCCCTGGGTTGGTAAGAAAGATCCCAACCAAAAGAAGGAAACAGCTACGCACTCCAGTGTTCTGGCCTGGAGAATACCATGCACTGTATAGTCCATGGGGTCACAAAGAGTTGGACACAACTGAGAAACTTTCAATTTCACTCAGAGAAGCTCTTTGTTGAAGAGGTTCAGCTGAGAATAGAATTCATATCTGACATTAAATACATGATAATGATAAATACATATCATTTTTCTGATGCTATGTTATCTCCCAAAGAGGATTTGTAAGCTGGTAGAAAAGCAGATTCATATTATTAGTTCCTACTATAAATGGATTTTAAAGTTATCTTTATTTTTATTATAAAAATCAGTCTTTAATTTTGTACATGAAATATTTTTTAAGTTGCATGCTTAAGTCTTTGACTGTGTGGATCACAACAAACTTCTTCAAGAGATGGGAAAATTCTTCAAGAGATGGTAATACCAGACCACCTTACCTGTCTCCTGAGAAATCTGTATCCAGGTCAAGAAGCAAGTTAGAACTGGACATGGAACAATGGACTGGTTCCAAATTGGGAAAGGCTGTATGTAAAGGCTGTTTATTTAACATGTGCAGAGTACACCATGAAAAATGCCAGGCTGGATGAAGCACAAGCTGGAATCAAAATTGCCAGGAGAAATACCAGTAACCTCACATATGCAGATGACACCACCCTTATGACAGAAAGCAAAGAGGAACTAAAGAGCCTCTTGATGAAAGTGAAAGAGGAGAGTAAAAAAGCTGGCCTAAAACTCAGCATTCAAAAAACGAAGATCACGGCACCCAGTCCCATCACTTCATGACAAGTAGATGGGGAAGCAACAGAAACAGTGACAGACTTTATTTTTCTCGGCTCCAAAATCACTGCAGATGGTGACTGCAGCCATGAAATTAAAGGACGCTTGCTCCTTGGAAGAAAAGCTATGACCAACCTAGAGAGTGTATTAAAAAGCAGACACATTACTTTGCCAACAAAGGTCCGTCTAGTCAAAGCTATGGTTTTTCCAGTAGTCATGTATGGATGTGAGAGTTGGACCATAAAGAAAGTTGAGTGCTGAAGAGTTGATGGTTTTGAACTGTGGTGTTGGAGAAGACCCTTGAGAATTCCATGGACTGCAAGGAGATCCACCCAGTCCATCCTAAAGGAGATCAGTCCTGAATATTCATTGGGAGGACTGATGGTGAATCTGAAACTCCAATACTTTGGACACCTGATGTGAAGAACTGACTCACTGGAAAAGACCCTGATTTGGGGAAAGATTGAAGGCAGGAGGAGAAGGGGATGACGGAGGATGAGATGGTTGGATGGCATCACTGACTTGATGCACTTGAGTTTGAGCAAGTTCTGGGAGTTGGTGATGGACAGGGAGACCTGGCGTGCTGCGGTCCATGGGGGTCAAAGAGTTGGACATGACTGAGCGACTGAATTGAACTGAGTTCTTGAAATATTTTACAATATGCATGTGATATACTTTACAATGTATTAATTTTATTACCAGAAAAATTTAAGATAGTAAAAATAATAGTGATAAATGCATACTAGAAACCATTTGGAAGTTAAAGGGGAAAAAACACTTACATGACAGTCGCCCCTCACATCTACAGTGAGCATTCTGGTGTATTTATGTTTGATCTGTCCTTATTAATTTTGTTTTTCTATAGCTGCGTTCCAGGTGCTTGTTATTTTTAAACAATATAGAGTGATGAGTTTTCCAAAAACCAATGAATTCTATTGTTATATTTGTTTTCATCCTTACTTTTGAGATAACATACTAACCATGTAGAGTTATTTTTTTCTTATTGACTTCTTATTGCAGCTTATGGCATAAAACAAATCAAAATAAAAAATTTTCCTGGAGAAAATGTAAAATGCTCTAAAATAACTGGTTTAGGAGAGTGAAACTGTATTGTGATAAGCAGAAAGACATGCTTGGGGTCTTTTCTAGAATAGTAGAAAGTCCCGAAATAATAAGCATGTAGGTCCAATAACATAGGAGCAATATATATATATATATAATTATTTCCACTGAACATTTTTAATATGGGGAGAGCAGGTAGACAGATTTTATATGTAAAGCAAGTTTTGTATTTTCTAACTGCAGAACACTTTGACCTTTAATATTATTTTATTTTTGCAACAAGAATCTACAGTTTCCTAGTATGTATTTTTCAGCTATTTTTATTGTCACAAAGGTACATAGCTAAAGAGGGATCAGGATATAATAGGATCTGGGAAGAAATCAGTACTTAAACTGTTCATCACTATATGCGGATATACTATTTTGTTGTATATATGAAATATATCATTAGTATTAGACCTTAAAAATTATATGATTGAAAGTGATATTTACATGCAAATGTGATTTAAGAGTTAAGTGTTCATATACAAATTTTTTAAAATATCTTTCTAAATAAGTTCATGAAGTTTCAAAGAACTTTGCTGTAATCGCTTAAGTATTGAGATTTGACATGTATGTTAATAATTGTATGTATATTAATCATTCTTGTAGTTTTTCAAATCTTATTCCAGTTGTCAGATCATTTTATTACACAATCTCATTCTGTTTCTTCTTTTTTGTAAATATTTCTCTAGTAAGGAAGAGAAATCAAATAAAATTATTTATGATGGTTTTAGCATTGAACTGTAGTTAGCTTAGCATGTAAACACTTTATTGCCTTCCTGGATTTCTATATAGAGTTTACTCATTTCTGTGATAGTAGTTCTGAGTGTCTCTTTGAATGTAAATTATACTACATGGTTTTGTTCCCTGTTTGCAGACATTATGCTCCTTCAATGCCCGTTGAATGTCCTTCCTAATAGGGGACCAAAGGGTATTATTAAGACACACAGAACTTTGCTTGCCTCCTTCCTTTTCATTTCATTATTGTTTGCATTTTTATTTTAAATTTTAAAATATAAAGCCATATGGAGAATAATATAACAAATACTCATGTACCCACACCTAGAGAATTATTAACATTTTGGTATTTTGCTGAATAGAAAATTTCAAATAGAGTTGGAGTCCTTCTCTTTGCTTTCTTCCCTACTCTTGTTTTCTTCCCTCCCTCCACAGAAATAAACAAAGCATAAAACTTGCCTATACCCTCTCAGTCTACAGTCAGTTTTTATTGCGTTTGAATGTATCCCTCTGCCTAGGGTACTGTGTATCCATTTGCTTAGTACTGTTTAGTATGGCTTTTAAATTTTACTTCAGTCAGTCAGCCACGGGCCTTCGCTGGCAGTGCAGTGGCTGAGATTCCAGACTCGCTGCTTCCGGTTCAGGGGATGAGGGTCTGACCCCTGGTTGGGGAGCGAAGATCCCACATTCCTTGCAGTATGGCCAAAAAATTTTTTATTTTTTATTGTTTTTTTTGCAGAGGAATAAAATGTTTATTGAGTTGAGAGGAAAAATCTCTGAACATAGAATTAATTACAAAACATAAATCACTCTTTTAGGTGAGGGTAATATGGATATTTTAGACAAACGCAACTAAGGAAACTCGAGGCATAAGAAGGAATTGTGAGGAATAAAGATAGAATTAATATATACTATTTTCATATGTTTAGGTCAAGGGAGGAGTGATTGTAGTTCATATGCTCTGAGGTTCTTCCTGTGGAGGGTAAAGTTATTGGCTCATTTTGGACTTAGATTATTTTATACGTTTTTATTTTATTATTTTTTTAAATTAATTTTAATTGGAGGCTAATTACTTTACAATATTGTGGTGGTTTTTGCCATACATTGACATGAATCAGCCATGGGCTTACATGTGACCCCCATCCTGAACCCCCCTCCCACCTCCCTCCCCATCCCATCCCCCAGGGTCATCCCTGTGCACCAGCCCTGAGCACTTGTCTCATGCATTGAACCTGGACTGACGATCTATTTCACATATGATAATTTTTAAAATCAATTAATTTGTATAAAATTTTCCCCCAAAATTTTTAAAATCAATCAATTTGTACAAAATAATTAAGCACTCTCCCTTTTTATGTATTATTCTGCAGTTTGCTTTTTTTCAAGCAACATTTTTAGGATTTATGTGTGTTCATACATACAGGCCTAGTTTACTTATTTAGCTACAGAATCCCAACTGAGAAATAACAGTTTATCTGTTCTTCTTTTAATAGATCTTTAGGTTTTTTTTTTTTTTCTTTGCAAATTGTTGGCCTGCTTTCAGTATGTAGTCAGTCAATCAACAAGGGCTTATTACAACGCTAATCATGTACCCAGCCTTTCCCTAAAGAGTTTACAGTCTTGTAGGGGACCAGAACTGTAGGCCTGTTCAGTGTGGAAGTAAGATGGGGTAGGAACTGAACTGTGCAACCTGTGTTGGGTGACTTCCTGCTTTCCTCTTAAGGTTTTTTGGTTGTAGGTACTTATAATTTATTTAAAGTTACCGTGCTTTTGGAGTAAATCTTTAACTTCTTAAGATGATTTGCTTCTTTTAGGTGCTTGTTTAAATTGCCAGGATAACAGCAAAGGAGATCACTGTGAAGAATGCACAGAAGGATTTTATCAGAGTCCTGATGCCTCCAAAGAATGTCTTCGCTGCCCTTGTTCAGCAGTGACATCTACAGGCAGTTGTATCATAAGTAAGGCCTTTCTCTAAATACTCATTTTTAGAGGAAAAATCAGCGAGTCAGTGATCAGTAGGTAGAAAGTTCTAGATGCTGTAGGTGAAAGGGAGTTATAAAAACAGTAAAGGTTTGCAGTAAATGCATTTGTGGAGTGAGACAAGACGGAGGGATGAGGAAGTTGCTGTGAAAACTATGTTATCCTGTCTGACAAGGTTAAAGAGAGAGGAATGGAAGAATTATGAGTGCCTCTCTGTCTCAGTCACTCAGACTCTTTAGACAAGCATACTTTTTTTTGTTCTCTACCTAAATAGGTTTTCTGGACAATTAATAAATAAGGTGTAAATTGTTAGTTTGAATTCCATATGTTTCTTAAGTTTGAGAGGAGATAATAGTCAGGGGGTGTAAAATGTTTTGGGTTTTTTTTTGGGGTGGGGTGGTTACTAGTAGTTTTGCATTTTGCATTGCAACTTGAAATTGTACTAAACCATGTTGGTGTTCTCTCTTTTAGAGCTGGGTGAATCGGAACCTGAATGTGTCCAGTGTAAAGATGGTTACACAGGCCAGAACTGCAATGAATGTAACAGTGGCTACTACAATTCTGACAGCATCTGTGTGGAGTGCCAATGCCATGGCCACGTGGACCCAGTTAAGACTCCAAAGATTTGTAAGCCCGAGAGTGGGGAGTGCATCAGCTGCCTCCACAATACCACTGGGTTTTGGTGTGAAAACTGCCTAGAGGGTTACGACCGAGACCTCGAGGGAAATTGCATCAAGAAAGGTAAAACTTCACCTAAGGGTGTAAATTTAATATCTTAACCTAGCAATGGAAATTTCAGGACACCTACTTTTCGCTTTGTCAAGTCCAGAGAAGTTTTTTTGGGAAATAGATTTTGATAGAGATTTGCCCAAAGAGATCCCCTTCTATTCCTGCTGCTCTGCTGAGACTCCAGAATCAACTCCAGAAATTTGAGGACCGTGATGAAGTCATTGCACTGTTCTCACATCTTCTCTTCATCTATTTTTATTTCAATAATTTAAAAGTCCTATCATTTCTTTTATCTTTTGCTTCCTGTATTCTCATCACTTCCAGTGATCATCAAAGATCTTTTTAAGTAGAAACCTATAACCTGGCTAGAAGTTAGCTGAGAAATAAGAATTTATTCCAGCTTCTGTCCTAACTTTGAGCCTAAGTTTTCCCATGTGATAGAAGAAATAGTAAAAATATTCCTTCATTTTTGAAAGAAAAAAGTTACTCATGTAGCAAGATGTTTCTTACAGGGAAGTTCAGTAAGGGTTCAGATAAAAATTAATGATTGGAAATTCAGGATGAGTTGGGGGTATTCAGACTTTCTTGGGTCATAAAGATCAGACCATGCTCTTCTATAAACTGTTCTTTGATATTCTGATAGATGCCGAATCCTGGGCTGATACAGTTGCCCTGTGGCAAGAGTTAGTCTTCTACCATTTTCTTGATATCTTTATTCTGCTGTGATCAAGGATCAAAAACTCAGATTGAACCCTATCCCTAGTCCAGAGAACCTGTCATTCAATTCTCTTTCCCACTGGAGGCATATACCTTGTCCGTATTTAGCTGACCGGGCTATGATGACTTTTCTTACTAGCTATTAGGGAATGTAAAGCATGCCTCTTTTTAGGGTAGATTGATGTGCCTGACTGTGGTGATGAATTGTAGTGATAATAGGAATCATTTTATTGAGTGCCTAGTATGTGCCAGGCACTATGAACATTAAATGTAATAATGTGTTATATACTTTAAGTTAATCTTAATTTAATCATTCCCAAGGACTCCGTAAAGTAGATATCATTATTCCCATTTTATAGGTGAGGAATCTCAGTTTTAAGAAGATTGACTGACTTATTTATTGCTACACAGTTCTACTTGATCCCAAAGCTTTTGGTATCTCCACTGAGCTATGCTGCATTAAAAGTACAAAATATAGTACCTTAGTTGTAAAATAACTATAATCTATATAAAGGAAAAATCATTATGCTGGCAATGGCTGTTTTCTCTCTCTGCTGATGTGAACTATGGCCATTTAAATTGTGTTTTTCAGAAGCAACGAGAAATGCAATTTTTCCTATTTTGTTTTTGCCCCCATTAAAGAGAATTTTACCTTTATGAAGTGCCATCAGACATGCTGAACTTATTTTAATTAAAATGAGTATTAGCTATCCCTTTCACTTTTAACAAAGTGATTTAGACGTCAGTAGTGATATACTTACTACCTTTTCAGGGATTCGTATGAATCTATTCAAGAGAACAGGAGGATGGAAAACTCCAACGTTAGAATTTTCCCTAAGATTTTAGTATGGATATTATATACATTTTGGATAACAGCCGTGGATGTAATAATCTAGTTTTCTAGGCCCTGATTCTTTCCACTATATTTCTTTAAAAATTATTTTTTAACTTGCATTACTTTAAAACAGAGTATCATGTCAACATCCCATGTCAATTTCCACTCCCATGTGTATTTCTTTTATTGTTTCTTAAAACAAGATATTTTGTCTTTTACATTTCATTCTCTGTTTTTATTTTCAGAAGTTATTGTTCCAACACCTGAAGGTTCTACCATTTTGGTTTCCAATGCCTCTTTGACCACATCAGTGCCCACCCCTGTTATAAACAGTACCTTTACCCCTACGACCCCGCAAACTGTCTTTTCAGTAAGCTCTGCTGAAAACAGCACTTCAGCCTTAGCTGACGTATCATGGACCCAGTTTAACATCATCATTTTGACAGTCATCATCATTGTGGTGGTGCTGCTCATGGGGTTTGTGGGGGCTGTATATATGTACCGGGAGTACCAAAACCGGAAACTCAACGCCCCTTTCTGGACCATTGAGCTGAAAGAAGACAATATCAGTTTCAGCAGCTACCACGACAGCATTCCCAATGCAGATGTGTCAGGATTGTTGGAAGATGATGGCAACGAAGTGGCTCCCAACGGGCAGCTGACCCTGACGACACCCATGCATAACTACAAAGCCTGAGGGGGAGCCAGAGCTGTCCTCTGGATCTTAGGGCCACGGTGCTCCCTAAGGCAGCGTCGTTCTCTGGGCCACAGCCCGGGGAGAGCCGCTGAGATGAGAAAGCAAAGGCAGGTAGTGCCTCGCAAGTTTTCAGGTACAGATTTGTAATGTGCTCAGCCTGTTCCCCTTAGTTTTCCCGTGAAGATCCGAAGCAGTCACCGACAATAAGGACTTGAAGCAAAGTCTATTTTTGTACCAAATCACGTGGGAGGGTAGAAGACTGAGCCTCTCAGAGCAGCCCCAATCCACTTTGACCTCCAGATAGACTCCTGGGGGGATGTTCACCATCAGTGGAGACAGGATGATGGATGCGGAGGGGGAACAGGACTGCCAGAAGACTTTATCTCCATTCCTGATAAAGGAAGGCCAGGGAAGGATATTCATTTCACTGGACTAAAAGACATCTTAGAGGAAAAGCTGATATTTGGGCTGCGTCATGATACACGACCTTGATTGTTTCTATAACAGGGGCAGCAAAGTCCCAAGAAGGTCTTTAGAAGGGTTTGATTTTTCTTTCCAGAGTTTTTGCTCAGTGATAAGATTAAAGCACAGGATAAGCTTCTAATGGTAGAGAGAGGAAGGCAATGTCTGGGAAAGCAGAAAGCTAATGATTCTCCTTAGGGCCTCAGTGTAAATGATAAATTGTTTAAAAATAAGGAATATTCCTGCCTCTAGAGAAATAAGGTGTATATAGTTAATCTAGAATATCTGGTCAGCATTGTATTTGTATCTATTTGTAAAAAAAAAAATCATGTCTTATTTTATCATCTAGAATTTATTTGTATAGCAGTTAATGGCATTGTAAAAAGAAAATATGGGGTTAAAATACTGTAAAATAGATGGCAATATTGCTAGAGCTGGGACTCTGGTGAGCATCAGTCATTTTTAGTCCCTCTTTGGACATTGTTGAAATTTATAAGAGGTTGGATGTTTCTAATTTTTCCCTTTTTCAGTCTAAAAGTAGAGTTCTATGGTCTTTGACTTCCTATAGATTCAAGCAATAGATTTTGAAGACAATGATTGTTAAGCTGGGACACAATGCTGGATTCTCCAAACTACTCACCTGTTTAGACATTAGCTTCTATATATTTGACATAGATTAAAGTAGAACACATGCTTGTTAAAATTTGTTTTTAAAGTAAAAATAGTCTTCCAAAGGAAGAAATATTTTAGCTCCAAAAGAAAAGCCATCACATCACTTGGGATCCCCTGTGAAATATTTATATTCTTTTCCCACCCCCAAATACTTCCTACATTTGAATGTAGCCTGTCACCCACATGCCATGGGGCATGTACCATCTCTCTGCAGTGCTGTAGTTCTTGTATCTTCTTGTCCAGTTAGAGGGTAGCTCTGTAGTTGAATGGGTATTGTTAGTCATTGCATTTAGATGCAGTTTTTTCTTCGAGGCCATCTCTACCTTTGCTTTCCTCTAATTATGTGTATTGACAGATTGTAAATTAAACTAAGCCAGGAAAAACAGCCAGAAGTCAAATACAGATATTTATTAGGAGGAAGAACAAACTGTCAAGTGGTTAGGGGAAAAAAAGCAAGAACTAGACCTAGGAAGCCCTGCCCAGTTGATCACCCTGCCTGACTTCTCCAGAGAAAAGCCTGGAATCCGGTCATCCCTCTGCAGTTGCAGATGAGCTCTGGAGGATATACAGGCAGGTAATCTGCTTCCAGTAACTGGAGAGGCTCTGGATATCTGGCCACTGCTCATGAAAGTAGGGATTACATTAAAATCAGATAATGTTTCTGTAGCCCTTGACAGTTTGCAAGGCGTCTTTCTATACGTGTGTCCTTGGTTCCTCACCATAGGCCTCTGAGGAAGTGATTGTTGTTCTCAGTTTATGGGTGAGGTTAAATGTCTCGTTCAAGGCTACACCATATATCATTTGGCTTGGAATCAGGACTCCTAACTCAGAAGCACATGTTTTTTTCAGTTGTATGCTTGTGCAGAAATGACCCAGCCGCAGACATTGGAAGGCTGGGAGGAAGAATCCTATCTGTGAACGTTTCTGATTTTTGTGAATACAAGGTATGATCCAGGGCTATATAGCCACGAAGGGCTTTGCAGAAAGAGCACAGGAGGATTAGTCTCTGAAGCCAGTGTTGGTGATGAGAAAATAAAAATACCAGTCTGTGCTTCCTAAAAGGAAACATCTTTCTAGGCAGGGAGAGAAAGCCCTACTTCCCGCAGCTGCCACGTGTGCGCAGAGATAGTTCCGAGGAAGTGTGTCACGTGACACACGCCTTTCCCCAGGTTACCACGCCCTCAAAGCCAGGCGTTGGGGATAGTGGGAATTTTGTTCAACAGAAGTTAACACAATAAAGAAAGAAAGAGTTTGTTGGGGTCTTAGAGCCAAAGCTGAACAGTCCAGATTCTGGCTATGTAGACATTCCTTGAAACAGATGCTAAAAGGAACTGGGAAAATTGAATCACAAAGAACGTTTACCTTTAAATATTTATGAACAGGGCCTAGGTCATGTTCTCAATTTATCCTGGTGGAAAAAAATTAAGGTCTTAAAATTACTTTAAATAATATTCTTTAGTGTTCTGTGCTTCTGCTGGTGGAGGTAATTTTGCTCTGAAGTAGAAATCCATCATGAAGTGATCTACCACCAAAATCAGACTAGGAACCTGGCATGGAATGCGTTACACAGCAGTCATTCCTCTAAAAGCATGATCCCCACGTACTGTGGTGTTTAGCACCAGGATCCCATACGTCCTTTAGAAAGACTAATAGGGTCTAAGAATTAGGAATGTGTTTATTTTCAAATGAGGTAAGACTAGTGTGAATCTAATTGATGAGTGACAGATACTGCTGCTGGATGCTAGCTTAATCTTCACTAATTCATTGTAGTAAGCCCTCATGCATTTCTGACAGTCAGATGTCCTGGGTAGTGCTGTGAAGTGTGTCTGTCCTTTACTTTCCCCTCCCTACCTCCGTCCTCTAGCTCCCAGAGCTGTCTTACTAATAGAATTTCTCTAGTTACAGAGAACAATGCTGATAAAAACTAAACCTCATTTATACTAAGGTCCTGTGGACTTAATGTGTTACTCTTAGGGATCCCTGGGTTTTAAGAGAGAACAGAGCCGACACGGGATGGAGGAGGGGCTTGGTGGGGAGAGGATTTGTGGCAGCATCACAGTGTGTGTCTGCGCTCTAGCCCCAGTGTTCCCGGGAGACTGTGACGGTTAAAGCCGCACGCACTGACCGTCCAGCTCACTGTGGTCAGCTGAGTGCCTGGGGGACGTGCAGCCCTTCTTGTGCTCTTCTGGAGCCAGAGAGCGGAAGCGACAGTCCTTCCTGCTGACAGCCCTAGTTTGGACTGCGTTATTAAATCATTCACTTTGGTCCTGTATTTTTTTGTTGGATATACGGTCAACATAGCACCTCTGATTATGAACATTCCCTGGTTCTTATATTTTGAGGTATGTGGGAAGGAGTTGAATTTATAGATCACAAGGAAAGAAAGCTCCCACAAAAATTTCCAAAAAGTAAAAAGCAACCCAAGGTAACCTGTTAGAGCAAAGGAAGCGTCTCTGGCCTCATCGACGAAGAGCCTTTGGTCTGTTATGATCGTCTTGATAGGAGTTTGGGAGCTGACACGGGTTTGGTGTGTGCAGGGCAGTGACAGGTTAGCGTTAAGTTTTCCCTTCCACTTTGGGCTAGCGACGATGCCAGGGAAGCAGCCAGAAGAACACAGTGATTCACCTGAAGAAATCAAATGATACCACATGAACTAAAAAGGCTATGGATCACAGAAGGTCAGTGGTCAAAGGATGCTTTTTCAAAGGCCGTTGGGAACCTTTCTTATCCTGCATCCGCAGTAACTGCACCAGCAGCCCTAGAACGTGAGGCCAGGCCTGAGGTCTGAGCCAGCCTGAGAGCTGACTGATGTAAAGCGGCATCTTCATGCTAGGCACAAGCACTCTGCGATACGTTAAGTTTCCGCCCAAGCAACGAGTGTTTCTGAAACGTTAAAATCGTATTTATGTCACTAAAATTCTAACACACATCTTAAAAACATGTCTCATACATATGCTGTACTAGGCTTCATGATGCATTTCTAAATTTGTGTATGATTTGAATATAAGAAAGAATTTATACAAGAGTGTTATTTAAAATTATTAAAAAATAAATGTATATAATTTGTACCTGTTGTAGATTTGCTGTTTTACTTCTTTATGTGGTTACAGTTGTTGGAAGTCTTTTAATATATGTCACAGATCACTTATTTTCAAACTGCTTCGTGAAAATCTTTGTATCCTGCATTTATTGACTATGCTTTCTGTTTTAAGAAGTTCCTTTAAAGAATGTTTTCCACTTAGGGGAAAAAAATGCCACATGAAGAATATTCCCCCTCTCAAAACAAAACACCCTGAGTCAAAAAGCATATATTAACATATAATCTTGTTTAATAATTGTCCCCTTTGAGATCCATTGGGCTTCCCTGATAGCTCAGTTGGTAAAGAATCCGCCTGCAATGCAGGAGACCCCAGTTCAATTCCTGGGTCGGGAAGATCCACTGGAGAAGGGATAGGCTACCCACTCTATTATTCTTGGCTTTCCCTTGTGGTTCAGCTGGTAAAGAATCTGCCTGCAATGCAGAAGACCTGGGTTCAATCCCTGGGTTGGGAAGATCCCCTGGAGAAGGGAAAGGCTATGCACTCTATTCTGGCCTGGAGAATTTCCGTGGACTGTATAGTCCATGGAATCACAAGGAGTCAGACACTACTGAGCAACTTTCACTTCACTTCAGTCTCTGCTCCAGATAAGGAAGAGTCTTAACCCTTCTTTATGCTCACTACCAACCATATTAAAATGATGTATAATTTCCTGCATTTGCCAGGTTATATGATGTCTTTCTCCCTTTGCTGGTACTGTTTCTTCTATCTATAACATCCTGGAAAATGTTTGTTCATTCTTTGCAACTCCTTGACAAAAGAAGGTCGATAAGTCCTTAACATATACCCCCGTTTGCCTAATGAAGACGTCTCTTATTGCACATGCTTTATTAAAAATATCGTTATATTATGTCTTCCTTGGTAGACTGCAACCCTTGAGGCCAGGAGCATGTGTCCTTCCATCTCTAGTATCTGGCACAGTGCTGGCATACTGTCGGCACTCATCAAATGGTGGTTTAAAACAAAAAGTACTTGACAGGTGCAATAGTTGATCTGAACTTATTTGGTGAAGTATTGTAAGAAATTTTGTATTCAGTGGGTAAGACAGTATTTCTTATTTAATAGAGATGTCAGCATACACGATTCAGAGGGTCTGAGAAACTCTTGAAATTGTGAACACAATTGTGAAATGCTTACTTGTGAACATAAACAGTTTGTATGTGCTCTTTTTTTGTTTTTTTCCTGGACAAAAGGTCCACACTCTTTTTTTTCGTACTCTTAATCGTAATGTCCAGAGTATCTGTGATCCCAAAAGATTGATAGCTACTGGTATGGGGATTCCTTCCCATATTTCAGCCATAATCCCCTCGCCCACTGAATGTACATTAGTACAGCCTTGATTCAAGAAATGGAAATCCCTCATAAGAAAATGACCTAAAAGCAGAAATTTTTGTGTGGGGAAAAAACCTTCCCCAGAGTTGTATATAAAGTTAAAAAAGTGGAGACAAACTTTAGATGCAGACATGGCTTAGTGCATACACTGTTAAATTAACATTAGGTCATTAAGAATGAGGAAGAATGATTAAAAACAGAATTAAAACAGTGAAAAAATAGAATGTTTTGAAAATGTGCATGCAGTTCTACTCCTGGTATATAGTTTAGAGAAACTTACGTATGTGTACCAGGACCCACGTTTCAAACTCTTAATTGCAGCATCATTTGTTATAGCAAAATAACTGGAAATATCCCAATTGCCTATCAGTAGAAGAATGGATTAATTGTGGCCTGTCCATATACTTTGAATAGAATTTTATACAGTGGTTAAAAATGAATTACAGCTATCTACATCAATATGGATGAGTCTCAAGACATAATGTCAAGCAAAAAAAGCTAGGCATAGAATACATACAATATGATTTCTTATATATAATGACCAAAAATGGAAAATGTAATACATTGTTTAAAAAGACATTATACAGGAAAACTATAAAGAAAAAGGAATGATGAATATATGATGATAATGATGATGGATATCATCAAATTACCTGTTCAGTTTGAGGGCTGGGACTGTCTTCATTTTTTAATGCCGCTGCCAAGCACAATCCTGGCACCAGAAAGTGCTCAAGAAATGTGAGTGAATGATGGACTCTGCTATACTGCAGTGTTTACACTGGTAAATATGGTAAAGGCACATAAGAACTGCAAAGAAGTCTACGGCCATACCACCCTGAACGCGCCCAATCTTGTCTGATGTCGGAAGCTAAGCAGGGTCAGGCCTGGTTAGTACTTGGATGGGAGAACTGCAAGGAAGGCTTTAAAGTAAAGCAACTCTAAACCAGAAACCAAACAGACTGCGATCTGGGGCAGCACCAAGTCACCTGTAAACGGGTGTTTCTGAGTGACGCTGGGAACAAACAGCACAGAATTCCCTCCAGTGGAATGGTGCCGATGAAGCTCACGCCTGCAGTGCAGAGGTCTTGCCCACAGACAGGACTGTGTACCCTCAAACATGTGCTGACGGAGCAGGAAGCAAACTTAGCCTGCTCTATGGATGCTTTTGGTGTCCTCCCCTTTCTGCCTTTATTTTCAGAAGCTTGCAGAACCGACAGGCTGTATCTCAGCTTTTTAATTCCCCCCAAATATTTCCTAAATGAGCCATTGTTCTTTAATCACCATGGCCAGGGGATTATCCAGTTTCATCTGAAGAAGTTACTTCTGGCAAGAGATGAGAGTCTTCCAGACAAGGAGAGGAACATTAATGATTGTCTGTTAGATTCTGTTTTAGTTGAGATAATAATTTGGGGGCAGTTAAGTAACTTGTGTAGACTCCAATGGGCCATGAATCCCCAAAGGAACTGTCTGAAATGGAGCGGCCTTTATATTCCAGAGCAAGGATCAGAGTTTGGTTAACAGTTACGTTTTGAATTTCCTCTAGTTAAAAATGGAAAGGAAGCAGGTATATTAACAGGTATTGGTCCTGGGTAAAGAACGAACTTCATTTACTTATAATTTGTACCTCATCTTTTGGTGCTAAAAGACAGAGATCATTAAGCCCCTGAATTCAGGATGAAGGGACCAGTTTACTATACCAAAGAGGAGGAGGAGCTACACCAGTGAGGTTAGGCTGAGACTGCACTAGCAACTGACCCCTAATTTAGTTACTTTCCCAGCAACCAACAACATAGATTACTTGTGGTTCAGTGGCTCAGTCATGCCCTACTCTGCGACCCCACGACTGCAGCACGCCAGGTTGCTCTGTCCTTCACTATCTCCCAGTGCTTGCTCAAACTCAGGTCCATTGAGTCAGTGATGCTATCAACTGTCTCATTTTCTGCCACCCCTTTCTCCTTTTGCCTTCAGTCTTTCCCAGCATCAGGGTTCTTTCCAATGAGTTGGCTCTTCACATCAGGTGGCCAAAGTATTGGAGCTTCAGCTTCCGTAACAGTCGTTCCAATGAATATTCAGGATTTCATTTCCTTCTCTATGTACCAACTCTCACATCTGTACATGACTACTGGGAAAACCATAGCTTTGACTATACAGACAGATTACTTAGCTATTACTAATGAATGGACACATCTTGGAACATCAACAGAAAAGCTCTTTAACAATACAAAGAGCATCAGCTTTGGAAGAAGAGAGGATTCTAGTGCAGGCTCCACACTGTGGTACCCTGGGCAAGTTAACCGAGGGGCCCTAGTCCTACTGTCCTTCCCTGTAGAAGAGCTGGTGATGCTGGCCTCTTAGGGCTGCGCTGAGGACACATCCTATGGGGAGCAGCCCAGCACACGCCACGTCTGTAACAAACGGGAGGTCCTGCCCACTCTCCCTTTTATTTAGGAGGTCTTCAGTTAAGGCATCACCCCCAGAAGAGGCCGTGTTCTTTCCCCATTGAGTGGTACCAGGTGGCTTGTTCTCTGAACAGAAAACCAACCCGTAGCCCGGGACTGGAAGAAGGCCACTCCTAGGTTTCAGGTATCTTTGGAATGAAAGGAGATGCTTCTCTGAGTTGGACTGCTGCTGTTTCTGTGCTCTGGTGGGTGACCTGGGACCAAGGCGGCATCCACAGGGGGCTGGAGCAGGCAGTGTGGCATCTTGCAGCATTCCTGTGCTTCTATGGGGATTCATGGAGTCGGTATGTTTGCCTATGGGAAAGGGATGGGAAGTGAGTGCTGGGGAGTGTGGAGAGTTCAGGCCTTGAAGTCTGCTCCGAACAGGCTGTAATCCGTGCTCTGATTTTACGGAGTGAACCAGGGCAGGCCATGGAGCCCACCAGTTCTCAACATTTCCACTGATGCATCCAAGAGATTGAGTTAAATAAATGGTTTCTGTGAGAGCCTTTGTTCACTCCTGTATTCTGTTAGGCAGAGAAAAAAGTGTTTGGGACGAGGTCACTAATTCTGATTAAGATTTATAATTCATTCTTTCACCAACATTTATTTAACACCTATTATTTGCCATGCACTATAATAGATCTTTATAATCCCCCTTCTCTGGGGGATCTTCCCAGCCCAGGGATTGAGCCCAGGTCTCCTCCATTGCAGAGTAGTTGGACAAAAAAAGAAGAATCTAAATTGGAAAGGAAGAAGTAAAATTGTCACCGTCTGCAGATGACATGATTTTTTACATAGAAAATTCTAAAGACACCACCAAAAAACTACTGGAGCTCTTCGATGAGTTCAGCAAAGTTGCAGGATACAAAATAAATATACAGAAATCCCTTGCACTTTCTATACAGTAACAGTGAACTGTCAGAGAAATTGAGAAAACAAGCCCATTTACAGTCACACCAAAAAGAGTAAAGTACTTCGGAATGAGTCTAAATATGGGGGAAAATACCTGTATTCAGAAAACTATAAGACCTCCTGGAGTAGGACATGACAACCCACTCCAGTATTCTTGCCTGGAGAATCCCAGGGACAGAGGAGCCTGGCGGGCTACAGTCCACGGGGTCGCAAAGAATCGGACACGACTGAGCGACTGAGGACACATAATAGACCTTAGGATACAGAATTAGAAGTTCCCACTGTCAAAG